GGAGAGGTTCAGGGCTGTGTGCTCCTTACAGAGGGAGTTATCTCCCCTAGCACCTGGTACATCTTGTAAAGAAGATGTGTCAGACCCCATTCCAAGGCACTTAATGTCCCTGTGGCTTATATGGAGGATCTAGTGACCTAAAGACCAATCCTGAGCACCTCTTCTTCTCTGTGTGGTTCAAACCTACAGAAACAGTGTGGATCTGGTGAATTTTAATTCCTCAGATATCCTTTCAAGTTCTCTGTGACTGAGTATGAGGAATATTCCAGAGCTGAAGATATTTGGTGAACTAGAAAAGTAAATATTAACAAAATAAAGAAAGATACTATTAAACAATAATACTATAGAAGTAGGAACCACAGGCTGCTTCAACAAAAAATTTGCAAGTCAAAAGACTTAAGAATGGTGGGTACAGGTTTTTAATTTCATTGCATCCCCAGACTAGGAACCCTTTCTTACTTTGTGTTTTGTCCATATTTTTCTTTTTTTGTTTTTCTGATAAAGTTATTGCCTTTACCACCCCCTCACAGACACAGCAATTTAGAATAAATAAGGAAAACGAATGTAAGCAAGTATAGCCAAAGCTGCTTAGCCACAGCCTCCACAACAAAAGATGAAGTAGAAATTGCCAGTGAAAGTGGTCAAAGAACTGTTCAACAAGCATCTCAGAAAGCTGAACAAGGCTATGTGGGTATTATCAGCAGCTGGGGGAGGAAAAAAAAAGAATACAAGAAATAAAGCTAATGAATAAGCAGCTTTCAGCTTTTATAAGCGACTTCAACTTTTATTATTTATTAACTTGTATTTTTGCAGATAGAGCAGTAGGAGCAACAGTACTCATTTTTTCTTATCAGCTATTGTACTAAGTTTCTCAGCTCTTCAATAACCCTTAGGGTCTTTTATTCAACAGGTTAAGATAATTATTTTTTTTTTCCTCAGCAAGCCTATACAGGACTGGCCTAAGGCAAGAGAGGTGTTGGATACTTTTGTGAGAGTGCAAAGGCATTTTAAATTTCTATGCCAAAGGAAGGGAGGGACTCCAAGCACCTTTTCTCATGAAATCACTGCCATTCCGGGAAACGGATCCCGGAGTACGGGGATAAGCCCCGCCTACTGCAGTGGATCTGGGACGTTACTTTAATCAAACTTCTTCCAGGTGCCCAAACAGTTCCCAACTTGAGGAAGAAGAGATTATTTGCCAAAGTAACAAGCACCAAGAACTGCAGCTGAGAATGAATAAAGCTTTGAACATAACAAGAGAGATATAAACACACCAAGAATTCTGCATCCAAATGCTGGGAAGCAATGCAGCCCGGGGTGGCAGAGAACTGATGACTTTGCCTTGCTATCCCTTTGTTTTGGCTGTTTCTAAGTGACCACTGCACAGCCTGAAGAGAAAAAGATGCTGAAGTAAACTCGTTAATAATTTCAAAGATTTTTGATTCCCAGGTAACTGCACTAGAGATTCCTGCAACATGGGTTAAAATAAGGCCTAAAACCACACAGTGAATATAGAAGACAAAATAAGGTATTTAATAAATATATGTGGTGTTTCTTTGGGTTTTTTCCTAACTGAAAGGAATACAGTTATTGCTGCACTTTTTAGAATGAAACCCAGTTACTGTGCAATAATGGGTATCTATACTCCCTTTTTCAGATACTCAAAAATTATTTTCCACCTTTTTAGGCATAACTGAATGAAGATTTTATACAGGCTTTGTGGTTTTTTTAATCCCCATTTATATTTAGGACCCAAACCCCTTCAACTACGACATATCTTTCAGTTACCCATTTCTTACTAATGGCAGAACTTGATTATAGCTACACATCACCCAGCTAAGAGACACTGATCTGTTAAGTGTATGCTGTGGCTTCTCCCCTGGTAAGAGAGAGTTGCCAGTGACAGCAATTTAGGTATGTACAGCCAAAAAAACCCATAGGAATTCGTTCTGGGCCAAAGAAGAAAATCATATTTTACAAATTAATTAGAAAGCGATGCTATTAGAAAGTTATCTGTTTAGTACCTTCTCTGATTTGCCTTACCTCCTCAAAATGTAAACATTTTACTGAACCTCCAACAAACCCTTTAAATGCATCTAATGAAAGTGAGGTAGGAGTTATTACTGGATTAACAATATTTTCCCATATTCAGAGGAACAGAATACTCAACTGTAAACACCATTGAGATACTCAAACCAGAGCAAAAACTGTCAAGGTATTCACAATGTCCTTGGGCAATTTACAGGGAGAGTCTCTGGTCTCACACCCTGCAACATTCTGGGTGGTGCTCTAAAGAGAAAGAGAAATCAGCTGACTTCTTGGAAGTTGTGTGCATAAAACAGCATACTAATCTTAGAGGAGGTTCTATTTATTGTTGAAGCAGAGAATGAGAGGCATTTCCTAGTTATTCCTATCAAGCCTTTGGCACTGATGGTGCTCTACCATACAGAGGCTGTTATTTGTCTGGGGAGAGGATCGATTGCCTGCAAGTGCACAGCAGCAAGTAGTACATTTTTAACTATTTTATGTCATATATTTCTGTCAGAAATTAAGTGAAATCTTAATGTATTTTATAAATGGTCAATGTTTTCCTATGTACAAACCTGAAAATCAAAGCACAACTCTTGAATTCAGCGTAACCGTCTTCACCTTTGGTGCTGTTGAAGCAGCATTTGAGAACTTACATCACCTTTAGGGTGTTGCTGATCTTTCCATTGTTCAGATAATTTGTAGCTGAACCAGAACTCAGAAAAAGTGTTGAAAATAAGACAGTCTGTTCTGTGAAATCCTAGAAAACACGGGAGACTTCTAATGAGGTTTCACTCGGATGTACTTATTTTAAAACAAGGAAGAATTCTTTTCCAGTAAACACAAAATGAAGGAATTCTTGGTTTGACCAATGACTCCTCTAGGGACCAAGGATTCCTTCTAGCTCTTAATTTGCTTTTAAAGAAAATGATGACCCATAAAATACCTTGAATAATCACACAGCATAATTTAATATAGTTTTTTAGGAAATTCATTAAAACTATTTGTATGCTATAGTGATAGTCTCCTGTGGGATTATCTAATAGATTTTATTAGGAAAACTGATAATCCCTACAGTGAGTCAGTGGAGATAAACACTGGAAGGAGGGAAAATTAAAGGAACCAGAGTAGTAAATCAGATACCTAATGCTATGACAGGCTAATTGTCACTTCTCCCATGGAAGTACTGCTTTATCTGACAAGGAACACAGCACACAGTTACTTTCTCAGAACAAAAATGCAATGGCTCGGACAATACAGCAACACTACAGAATTACTAAATTCAAACCATCAGATTTGCTGTCAGAACTGCACTGAGAGGTGCAAGAGGAGCTGATGCAGTAGCTGAGATGAATTATCTGGCAGTCAGGAAGATGCTGAAGGTTTCTGTCAGTGCAGTTCCGGGAGCTGCTTCCGAGTCACAGCTGGTTCTGTTTGAGTTACTGTTGATATATTGCTTGTGAGCAGAAGTGCATGTTGATACAGTAAATGAAGTAGAGGTCAGCTCCAGGTATGCACATAATTATTTAATAATTGTACCTCATGATAGCTCTCAAAGAGTTTGTATCTTCTTGGGGAGTGAAAGGTCTCCATAAATATTTCAATATTTTAGGCAATGGTGACCCATCCCATCAAATTACAAATTGCAAGTCTACTATACTTACTAGCACACTTCAAAGTGTTGTTTTAACACCACCAAGGCCAAAATATGAAGATAGTAACATTATTAGTCATTAAAATACACCTTTCCTCCCTTACAGTTACAACCCTACTAAGAACAGCTCTACTTTTTTTTTCTGACACATTAGGTATTGCTTTGCTCCAATAGCAAGTCTTGCACAAAGGTACTTTCCAATCAATGTTCTTGGAATGTTCACCTCAGTAACTTCTGTACTTACTCGACAGATACAGTCTGGTTCTATTAGAGGTTTTAGAAAAGACTAGGAAGTTATTATTTTGCAGGTTTATTTAATGCTAATAGCTAGTCAGATCTACACATGGCTGCAATTTATCAGATCTTCCTCGACCCTCCACTTTGTGCTTTGCTGACCAGACCATTTCCCCCCATTATTGTGAAATCCTTACGGCTATCCTGAAGTTCAGTTGTCTTGTTTCAGTTCCCCAACTCTGCTGCATGATTTACCTGCAATTTAAGAAAAAAAAATGGCAGGAGAAATCTTTATCGCAGAATCATAGAATACCCTGAGTTGGAAGGGACCCAGAGAGATCATCAAGTTCAGCTCCTGGCCCTGCACAGAACAGCCCCAAGAGTGCCCGACAGTATCATCTGAACACTCCTTGAGCTCTGTCAGCCTTGGTGCTGTGGCCATCAGCCTGGGGAGCCTGTTCAGTGCCCAACCCACCCTCCTTGGGAAGAACCTTTCCCTGAGATCCAACCTAAACCTCCCCTGACGCAACTTCAGGCCGTTCCCCGGGGTCCTGCCACTTGTCATAGAGAGCAGAAAACAGAGCTGCCCCTCCACTGCCCCTCATGAGGAAGGTGCCGACCCCAGTGGGATCAGACTTCAGTCTCCTCCAGGCTGAACAGAACAAGTGCCCTCGGCTCTCTAACTGCAGGGCCGAGTTACCCACGGCACACCAGTGGGACACCGCAGTGTTGTCCCACCGCCTGTCCCCACAGCGGTACCCGACAGGGACACGGGGCCACTGAGGGGGGACAGCACTGGCAGCACTGCGGGTGTCCCCCTAACGCGACACGCAGGTGTGCTCTCACATTCGTACAGGTACGTTCAACCTTTCTCTTCACTCCCTTTTCGTTTTAGGGTTTGCCTCGAGCATGAGACCCCAGTGGTCCTGCTCCGACTGATGCTGCCGGTGGGGCTGGAGCTGCCCCGGGTGCTGGGGCTGCTGAGGGCTGGGGCCGCCCCGGGGTGCTCGGGCTCCTCTCGCTGCTGCACAGCCCGCGGCCAAAGCCCGTCTGGCAGCACACGCTGCCACCGGGAGCCGGCCCCGCTCCGAGGCGGTGCCCGGGGAGGCGCATCCCGGCGAGGGGCAGCCCGGCCCCTTTTCCCTGGCGCATCTCCCGGCCCTGGAGCCGCGGGAGGATGAAGCAGGTAGAGGGGCGGGCGGGGCGGGATGCTCGGGGGACGGCGCGGCCCCCCCGGTCCCTGTGCGCTGACCGGGTCCCCGCCGCAGGCGCTGGTGGACGACACCGAGGATGTGTCCCTGGATTTCGGGAGCGAGGAGGAGCTGGCGCTGCGGAAGGCGCGCATCAGGTAACGGCGCGGAGGCCGCAGCATCGCGGCGCCCGTGTGGCCCTCGCTGCTGCGGCGGCACTGAGGCACGAGAATACAGAAAGCTCCGTTTAAACGCTTAATTCCCATTTTTTACAGAGAGGGTGGTGAAGCGCTGGAACAGGCTGCCCGGGGAGGATGGGGAGCCTCTGTCCGGGAGATGCCCGGGCTGGAGCAGGCCCCGCTGCCCGGCATCACCCGGCCATGGAAACGGAAACCCGACACACCCAACGCTCCAAAACCTCAACCAAACTACTTTTGTTAGAGCTGGAGCAGCAGAGAGGCCTCTCAGCTCCAGCAAAAGCAGCTGTGCTGCAGTGCTCACCTGGCTGAAGGGAAGCAGCAAGAAACCTGCAATAAAACTGTCATGCTTCCCTTCCACAGGGTGTGATGATGTGTGGAATATTGTACATCTTATTCTCGTAGATGTTACCTAAGAAAATCCAACCCGTTCACCCCTCTCACCAGGTTAAGCTGCTGCCTTTGGGTTTGTCACCTTGGGTGTCACCCTGCAGCTCTGGCCACACCAAGGTCCCAGGTGACAGAGCTGTTGTTCCATGGTGGCTTTTGAAGAATCTTCAGCCAAAGATTGTGAAAGGAAGAGTTTTATGTAAAAAGAAATTATGTATGCACTCACCAATAATGTACATAATCAGCTTTGACTTTGAATGGTTTCTTCCACTTTGCCCCAGTTTACTCTGGTCCATTACAGTGATAATATTTCTTCTAGGTGTAAACAAAGAAATGTAAGAGATGTTAAACCTGACAAAATATTATCTGAGGTCACAAGCAATCATGTAGCTTTACAGTACAATTATTCTGTTTTACTGATGTCTGCTGAAGCATTTCTGCCCTTGCACTTTGTACTGTATTGGACTTTACTGTAACTGCATGCTGAGTCAGCCTTCAACAGCAGCACAAATTTTAAATGAACGTTTATATTTTGGTGTAGTCTTAGAGACATAGCCCAAAGGATTCAACTAAACTGAGAAATAAGCTCAGAAGTACCTTGAGCACATGAGCCTCAGATTCTGTCTGTGGGACCAGACTAGACTGAGCATGAAGTGAAACCACCCTGAAATGTTTGTAGGGTACCACAGCACCAGGTACTTTACAGATCTGCTCCTACTGGCCCACACTGCTCAATAAATACAGACAAGCAAAGTTCAGCAAACCACACTGTTATGTGATTAACTTTGTGCAGAAACTTATTTCATTAAAGACAGGTCTTCTTTCTTGCCCTCCCAACAGTATTAAAAGACAACCTCATACTGAAAATTCATCGGCTCTAGAATGCAGAAATGAAACTGCATTCACACAGAACTGCTTACACTGTTCACACAGATGTTTGTTTTTAGATTTCTGAAGAATCTTGTCTAAACAAGCCTGAAAAACACCTAGGTGCTGCAAAATTTAGTCTTATTAGAGGGCATAACAAGATGTTCCCATCTTTTGTCTTTATTCCAATTTCATATATCTTGAACTTGGTTAGAATTCACATAAGCTATGACAAGATGTACTTTTGTGATTCTCCAAGGTATGTGCAAAAGGGCTCCTTAAAAGCAAAAGGTTAATAGCTACTTTCCTAAGAGGTTAGAAAAAGATAACTTATACCCTTTTTGCAGTTCACTGCAGTACCAGAACACTGGATCTGGAACAGTCAGGAGCGTAATACAATCACTTTTTCACAAATCAGCCAGGCAACATGATGATCAGAGAACCCCTTTATTCAAAATTTGCCTCAATATATTTGAAGTACCAGACAGAAAAAAAAAGCAAGCAGCATGTAGAGTGCTGCTGTGGCACTTCTGAGCAGGAACTGGGAATGATTCTCCTGTGGGTCAGTGGGACACCTTAGGGCTGACCCAATTGTGATTCCTTAATGTGGAATGAAACTAAATTTACAACAGCTCATTCCTGTCCTAATAGGGATCACGCTTGCAAACTGAAGAGAGGTCATTGTAACAAGGTAAATGGCAACCCTTCAGCCTCAAGGCTCCAGTTCTACACTGTAGGGAGGTTTAGATGCAACAGGAAAACTGAAAGTCCAACCACGTGGGTTGCTATGCTTTCAGGAGCAAATGTCTGGCAAGCAGAGTTTCAGTTACCTTCATCCTTTACTGGATTTGAATGAAAAAAGGAAAAAAGAAAAGTTGCCATTTTTTAAAGCCTGTACTGTCTCCCATTAGTACAAGGAATAATATATGTTTATACAGTGATTTCTTAATGCCATTGCATTTCTGGATATTAACTTTTAAAAGAGTTTTATGGAGTATAGTTTAATTCAATATAAATACATTCACAGAATAAAAGCTAGAAAGTTATTTAAAAAAGGATGCAAATTGTTTAGCTTCAGGTTTTAGAAGCTGATCATCTTATTAAAACTTCTGTTTTATATGATAGGAACTATAAATTTCATGATGACTGTGAATTAAGAGAACACATTTGTTCTGTTAAGTGAGGAAGTGAGCAGTTTATTTACTGCATTCCATTAGTTTGAGGATTATTATTTTTCTTTAGCATAAATTTTCTGAGGTTGAGAGAGCTGTCCAAAAAATGAGGTGCAAGTTTTGATGCATCTCTACACCCCTCCCATAGCACAAGAACCTGCAAGTCTGTCTGTGGCTTGGTGAGCATGTCCTTGGGAGAGGACACTGACATTCCACAGCCTTGAAAAGTGTTCAGCACTGTAATAAATGAGAGCTGCTTGCTCATGGACTTATTTGTTTTTTCAGTAAATACCCTTCAAAGTTTGATATTGGAACAGATTCAGCATCCGACCAGTAATCCTGTTGCAATCCAGTAATCCTGCTGGATCTGCCTTCCAAAAGGAAACACTACTTCTCCAAAGTTTGCCGTGGGGTATCTGTCATTAGGTTTTGGTCCGTGAAGAAAGAAGACACACACACACACACACGAAGAGAGATGAGACAAGGGTGTCTACCTGCTCAGCATAGCAGGCAGCTTTATTGAGGTAGCAAACCCCGACTTTCCCACACACTTGTAAATATATTTTTACAAAAACACTCAGGAATTCACACCTGCACTCTGAAACACACAGTCAACAGCTTCGTCCTTGCACTGTTACCATCCTCCAGCTAACTCCCTAATACTCAAGGCTGTGTCCATGGGAACGTTTAATTACCCTCACTGTTCTCATGGGAAAGGCTTTATACCATCTAATATTTCAAGCTCTTCAAGCTCCAGGGGCTCCAGGGGCTCTGTGGACCTGCCACTTCCCCCCCCCAAAAGTTACTGTCACCTTCAAAGCACTGACCCAGCTCAATCCACCCCGGTGTGAGCAGCGAGGCACTGTCTGGTTTTGACAGTTCACAGTGTCCACCCTGCTCCACCCACCTGCTTACAGCAGAAAAAGCCCCTTTCATTTAAAATCTGACATGTTTAGTTGTAAGTCAGAAGTTTTTGGGAAGTTTGAAGTTAACATGGGCATGACCAGGAGTAAATATAAACTACAGCTGTGCATCATTTTGCCTTCTCCACTCACGTGTGTAGTACTACAAGCACAGGATTGACATTATATAAATATACAAATGTAGAACAGTTAAACAGCTATAGAATAATATTACAATAAGGATATTTAAATAGTTATTGTATTTATATAGCTATAATTTAAGTTCACCATAAATAATTATAATTATGTATATATTATATATCTCATTTTATTATACACAATAATAGAATAACATTCAACTGCTGAATAGCTAATTATGGCCCAGGCCAAACTACTGTTAATTGTTCATAGAGGTGGAGGAGCTTAATAAGACAACTACTGACTTAAATAAAAATATCTTACTCAGAAAACAAATTTTATTCACTCAGCTTCAAGGGAGAAGTTGTTCAAATGCAATAATCTCTAGTTAATTCTCACTTTCAACTAATTAACCAAACCACAATGGTACAGAGTAAGTTTTATACTTGGCATATTACCCTGAAAATTGTACTGTGCTCATTCCAGCATTCTCCAACCCCCTGTCTCATAGCACAGGCCAATAGTCCATGTCATATAATCACTTCTTTCACTGAAATTCCTCTTTATTTTGTTACAGACAGACTTTTGTTGGATGAGCAAAGCATAAATATCCAGTGAAATTAATATGAAATAATTCATAAGAACTGTTAGATTCCCAAATCGCTCTCCCTTTCTAAAAGGAAGTGTTTGGGTTTAGACATTAAATACGAAGGTTCATTTTGTCTTACACCAAACAGCTACTTTTTTTTAGTTTTAGAGTTCCTGTTTTGTTTTCAAAACAGTTCTGAAAGGCATAAGAATTGTCTCAATTATTTAGTGCTTTGAAAAGCTGGTTTATTTTATGAAACAAAGAGGTTTTTTAAGATGCTGTTGAACACAACCACTACATTCCTTCACATAGTACCAAAGAAACTGGTGAAAGACTCCTCATTTTGTCCTGTCTCTGAGAAAGTTATGACATGAACACCACATTCATCTTTTAGCTTTAGATTGAAGCTTGGCCATTGAAAATACTATTGCTTTGATAATGAAGGTACCCATCAACATCTGAAATAATAGAAGCTACAATCCAAAATACCACTTTAAAGTAAAAATAGTTGTGTTATACTACAGTGTCAGTGAGCACTGTGACATTCCTTCTCGTCCCATCACTTCATTCATGCTCTGTGTTTTCTTTTCTAGGCACCCACTGGCCACCTTTTTCCACCTGTTTTTCCGAGTGAGTGCTATTGTTACCTACTTGTTCTGTGACTGGTTCAGCAACAGCTTTGTTGCCTGTTTTGTCACTATTCTCCTCCTTCTATCCTTTGACTTTTGGTCAGTCAAGGTAAGATGACCCTCAACAGTAATTACCTTTGAAAGTATTTTGCTTGCCACTAAATGAAACAAAAAAGGAAATATGCATACTGACAAAACACCAATAGCACTGTGATCTGTTGGTTTATCACATGTCTAGCCCACTTTAATGAAGATGTTTACATATGTTTGTTATTGTTTATCACCATATTCTCTGTGGCTGGTGGGAGCTACTAAAATGGTGAGAAAATTGCTTTGCTCTAGGTAGATTTCTTTGTATTTCCCCCCTTAAAAAAATAAAAATTAAAGTAATGAATGCCTGAGGATGTTCGGAGCTGCAGACCAGACCCCTGGGGGGGCTGCAGGAGGGCCCTGGAAGCCCAGATATGGCTCTGGTGCCCTAATCACATGCAGGCAGGTGGGTCAGGCCAGCCCAGGATCCAGGGGCTCCACATGTGGAACAAAGTTTTTGTTCTGTAGAAGTGAAGCATTGATGTGTCTCTGGTATTCTGAAAGCTTCCAGTGTTCATCCAGGTGCAGGAATATTTTCTTAGTTTGTTTGCTTGACCCACACAGTTTACTTGCTTATCATTAATCTCCCATTTTTCAGTGTGTTTTTGTTCTCAGTGCTCCTCTCTTACTGAGGAAATTTGTTTATTGAATGCTTGTCCAACTGACTGGCTTGAAAAAGATACAACCTATAATTTCTTATCTAAATAAGTGCTATTGTGCTAATCATCATATTGAAAGAGAACAGGCTTCTAAATTTGTGGTAATTTCATCCATCATTAATGGCCATTGTGCTCAAGCTGGCACAGCTTTTAGAAGTAATTTTAGCATTTGATAAAAGATGATTGTTGAACATGCTTGTCTTTTTTATTTTTGACTGTTAGTCAGACAAGTGACTTGTGCTACTGATTAATGCAAATAATGGTTTCATCACCAGAACGTGACAGGAAGACTCTTGGTTGGTTTGCGTTGGTGGAACCAGATTGATGAAGATGGAAAAAGCCACTGGGTGTTTGAAGCAAAAAGGGTAAATATATTAATAGAAGTAGGCACAGGGCAAACAATCCATAGGAAATTTGTAAAGCTGATGCTAAATCAAATAGAGTAACAAATGGAGCACCTTTGTAACAGTTACTTTTATCCAGCTTCTATAGAACACAATGTAAGCATTCAGGTGCAAACGCTGGTTTGTCACATCCTGGAAGCCTGCAGGACAAAGCTGGTCTCACAACACTGTCAGCACATGGATCAGCAGAATAAATATTCACAGCATGGTGCTGTAGGTATGAAACATTTCTAGTGGTTCTGTTCTATTTTCTAGCGAGAATATCCTGCAATAAACACATCTTCCCATGGATAATGCCAGCACAGAATCCTCTTCAGGAAATATCTATGTGGAAAGCAGTGATAAATAGTTCAGGTTCCTTATCACTCTCTGCAGCTCCCTGACAGGAGGGTGTAGCCAGGTGGGGGTCAGTCTCTTCTCCCAGACAAGCAGCAATGGGACAAGAGGTCACAGTCTTAAGCTGTGCCAGGGGAAGTTTAGGTTTGGACATTAGGGAGAAGTTCTACACAGAAAGAGGGATTGGGCATTGGAATGGGCTCCCCAGGGGGGCAGTGGAGTCACCATCCCTGGAGTTGTTTAAAGAAAGACTGGATGTGGCACTGGGTGCTGTGGCCTGGGTGACAAGATTGTGTTGGGTCACAGGTTGGACTCGGTGATCTCAGAGGTCTTTCCCAAACTACTTGATTCTGTGATTCAATATTTTAAAATCAGTATTTCATTCATGCTCACAGAATATGGTGGGGAGCAGAACCTGGATCACAGAGCACTCTGATACTGCCAGTGCTCCCCCAAACAGCCTGAGCAAACGAGCTACAAAATGGCATTTGGCACCACTGCCAGAGTCAAGACTCAGAGTTTTGCTTTCCACAGCCTGATTCGGGGAAGAGCCCGGCAGAACAGCGCCCGAGTGCTGCTCAGTGGGCCATCCATCCCTCTGGGTTCTCCCGGCTGTGGTCCCGGTCGGGACAGGAGGCGGCTGTGCGGGGCTGGAGTGCCCTCTGCAGCCCCGCCCGGGCGGGAGCTCAGCGCTCCCCTGAGCGGAGAACACACACCCACGTGTGCCCCGTAATCTAAGGGAAGCTAAAGGCAGACAACCCTACACGAAAGAAAAGAAAGCAGGAGACCGTCAGAGTGCCTTAGTTCTGTGGAGACACGAATCAAGAGCTTTCTTAGCACTTACAAGCAATGGCATCCATAAAGTGACCTCCAGACCTCAAAATTACTGAGAGATGAGCAAGCCTTGTTCACCTGCCACAGTTTTTAATTCTAGCCTAGACGTACCAAGTTGATTCACCTGCATGGGCTAAAACCTTCTAAAATTCCTGGCAAGTGGTGACCTTATTAATGTGAAAATTATAGTACCACAGGAAGGAACATATAGATTGTATTTCTGCCATGGCTTATCCATGAGAAAGACTTTGTCATAGCAAGGTCCTGGAATACATGCAGTTCTCTTCCTTACCAAAGTCAGGCATTCCCATCTCCATCTCTCCCACCTCCTTTGCCAGTCCTCTGGCAGCTCGTTAAGATTTCTTGCTTTATGGGTAAACATGCTTAGAAATATTCCAAGTCACTCACCAACAACTAATTCTTGGCACGTGGTTGCTGCAACAGAGGTTCATCTCCAAAATCCTGCTTTCTGCTGATGCTTGCTGAAAGAAAAGCAGTTCTTACACTTACAAGTCTGCTGACTGCAGCCTTTTGTAATCTTCCACCAAATTAACCAAGTCTTTCAGGTGTAAAGTTCTCAGGTGTATTGACTTTGGGTTTTTTCCTCCTACATAGTGCAATGCAATGCCACTACTGGGTAATGTGTCAGTAATTTAGGATACAAGTGATTAAACCCTTTTATTGACTCAGAGGATCTGTCTTTTTCTGTAACTGTGAAGGCATAGAACGTTATTCTTTGGACCTCTGCAACATCGTTGGTCTAGAGGGTACATGAAAAAGTTAAGACACCTCAAAGGTCACATCTTTCAGGGTTTTCTTGGGCAAGATGGAGTAATTTAACCACATTTACAAGTTGCATGACAATGTCTGCCTCATGGGGGAAGGATGGGTTAGTCTTATTTTTACATGGAAAATTCAATATACTGAAAATTACCTAAAAGGCTTTTCAGTTTTCAGAGTGGAAGAGTCCAGAGGGTTTTCTTTTCCAGGTGTGAAGCTTTGTGTTTCAGAAGCTGACACTGATGGTGGTTGAGTGGTCTGAGGTTTGGAGTAAGGTTTCAAAAACTTTGGAAAGATCAGAACCTTCTGCACAATTCTCTTCCTTATTTTTTTTTAAAGTGTAGTCATTAACAATGAGCCTTCCAGTATAGACAGAGACACGTGAGTTGTGCTGACCTGAAGAAATCTGTAACCATGGCTTTTGCAGCCTGCTCTGAGGTGTTGTGCTCTCCCTCCAGAGCCCAGATATTTGTCATTTATTGTGCATTTTGACTTGGTGACTGGTAGTTTCAATAATTTTCCTTCCAGGTGCCTACAATTGCTGCCTCAACTGAAGCTGAAGCCCGAATCTTTTGGCTTGGTCTTATCATCTGCCCTGTGATTTGGACACTGTTTCTCTTTAGCACCTTGTTCTCCCTGAAGCTGAAATGGCTGGTGAGTCAGGGGATAATGACAGTTCTACAGCTGACAGACAATCCTTGTAGAGGGAAACCCCAGATCTGTTGGTCTTGAACCGAATCTTCCAACAGTACAAAAATCCCACCCACAGCTTCAAGGAACCCCAAGGATTTTTCTGCAGTCAAGCTCTGCGCTCTGGAATGGATTAGTAATTTTTAGCTGCACTTCTAATGGGTTATTGGATGTCAACTCCTTCATGTGACTGGAGAAGCTCAAGTGGTGGGCAAAATTTTGGCCTTCTTTTTAACTGTAGCAACTTACTCTTCCCCAACTTATTTCAGTCAAATGAAACTATTGGAAGAGTACAAAAGATGAGCTGGTGATGCTGGTTTTCAGGTTTTCAAGTCTCCTTGGGATTTGAATGCTACTTACTCTGAAAAGTAAGGATTTTAGAGCTCTGGTACCATTCCCTTTTGAAAGAACCAGCACCATTAGTGCTTAAAACCTTGATAAATGGAGCTATGAGTATGTATTTTATAATTACTCTATTTATAGGCCATCTACTTTACAAAAAAACTAAAACTCAACACTTTTTCCCTAAATACAAGAGGAAATGTACCCCGTATATTGCACTACATTAAGATATTTTTGTCTATGAAATCTTCATGTTTTCCCCTGCAAACATTAAGTGCTTGGATAATCACCACAGAATTCATTCTGTCACGTCCCCAGCCACGCTCAGGACCATTTCTTAAGTCAGTATGAAAAGATAAAAGGCACCTCCAACATGTGCAGCCACATCACCAGTTAACAGCCAAGACTACATTTTATTATTCGATTAAACAAGAAATTTAGCTGTGGGCAAATCATTAACTGCTTTTTGGTGCCCCAAATGGCACAGCTAAAAAAGCAACAGTTAAAATTAAACCAGCACTCTTTGTTCATGGCTCCACCTTTATTTTTGAAAACCAGAGATTGTTTGCTAAGCCAAGAACTGGTTGGAGACAGAACCCCAACTGGCTCTGAAGGCAGGTTGCCCAGGTGCTCGTAAAAGGCAAGTTACACAAATAAAAATTAGATCCTTCCAGGAACCTGGTCCTGGGGCTGAGAAACATTTTTTGTAAGTTATTCCATTAGTCAGATGGATCCCACCTGCTGCCAAGCCTGTAGTACCACAAAAGGAGTCAGTTACTTTCACTGCCTATCAATGCTAGATGGGGATTCCTATCTAAGGATGCTCTTTGTAAATCCGTAAATTACAGGATCTTATTTGTATCTAAGGCATTTGGCAGCTAACCAGGCCTGCAGTGTGCCATGGATCTGGATGTGAAACGTTTAGATACAACTCAGGCTTCAAAAACATGAAATGTTTCTGGAATCTTTTGAGAAGTTCCTTTTTTGAGTAAGTGCTTTTAGGAAAGTAATGAAGTCTTTAAAGATACAGAATGACAAAACTGGTATCAGTGTTCTGATAAAAGAGGCATTTTGTATGAAGGAACTACTGTGTTTAAGTTTGACAAGACTGATTTCTCTTTGAAGGTCATTTATTATTGGAAGGACTATCCCTCTCTTACAGTACACATTTCTCCAGGTGGTATGTACAGGTACACACGTGTGTAGGTCCTACACAGTTGATATGTAGTGGTGTATTTGTCCCTGCTGAACTTCTGTTTGTCCACAGGCTCTCGTGATAGCTGGGATCTCCCTGCAGACTGCTAATTTGTATGGCTACATCCACTGCAAATTAGGGGGACAAAAAACCATCAGCAGAGTAACTTCGAGGTTGTTTGGCACAGCAGATGTTCCCCAGAGTAAGTACTGAGCTGTCTGTGAGGCAGCACAGGCCAACGTGCTTCTCACAGTTGGTTCTGGCTCTTCCCAGGTCTCAGTTCCCATAAGAACTCCTGGCAGGGTGATCCTGATCCTCCAACAAGCCTCTCTTGCAGTGTCACACAGAAGGGCCCTACCCCAGGTCACTTTGCTCTGTTTGGAAGCCTCCTGAGCTTCACAACTGAGCTGCTTCCAAGCTTCAGGAAGAATGTCCTCTGAAGTGAAACCCTTGGAGTTACCGCACTTGGAATGTAATGCCTGTGCTTAGGCACAGCTGGGAGAGCCATCCTCAACCCCCAGGCTTCCACCGGGCTCTTCCCTGCTTTTATAAAGATTCCCACGTCCCAGGTTCTGCTCACAGCCACGTGTCCTCTGTTCACTCTGCAGGGCAGAGCAGGATTTCAGAAGATGGAGCTGAAGAACATGGCAAGGCAGTCCCTAGGTAATCAAACAAGGAAGAACTCAAAGGATGAGCAGTAAAACTACTAATTCATGAAAGCTGTTCATCACGTGAAGATATTTAAATAAAGCTCTTCTAGAATTATGCCTGCATGAAATAATGTCATTTGTGTTTGAGTCTTTAGATCCTGAAAGGTTTAGAGCCTTTGTAACCTAAAAGCTTCCCCAAAAATGATTTATACAGAGCATGCTGCTTCCACGAAAACTAACCAGAAAGTGCTGGATTATCTTAGCCAAGAATTAAATGTAATGAAAAGACAATGCTAAATTGTTTATTTTGGAACTACAACAGACAAAATCAAACTGCCTTTCCCTCTTGTACACAATACTCACTTTTCAAAGCTTTGATTCCTCAATAAAAACAATTACAATTGGGAATTACAATCCCAAAGGGCCTCTTAGTTATTAAAGATACTGAATGTTTATTTAGTATTGAGGCTCAGGGTCAAATAGAAGAAAATTCAGGGGGTATGTTCACACAGTGCCTGTGTGAAGCAGGCAGTTAGGTATTGTTAAAATACATTAATCTTATTTTGATATCTGTGGAAAAAAAAATAAATAAAATGCTGTACTTGTGCTGTAATACTACACTGAATTTCACCCTAGAGATGGATCTCCTCTTGAAAGAAAGACCCTTAAATAAAGTTATTCTAAGACAGAACCAGGCATTACAGTTCATCCCAGCACAGCAGGCAGGACAAAGGCCTGCACACCACAGCAGCTACATTACACAGTGCCCCAGTGTCAGCCCAGCATATTTTATATTCAACTGCCTAAACAAAATCTTGTTTTCCGTGTCTTCAAATGCCAACTTCACAGTCAGGTTATTAGTACCACGACACCACAGACAGAATGAACCTCTTAACCCATATGCAGATGCAGTTTCACAGCTTTCTAGTGTGAACAACTACAAGAATCCTGAACTATGGAAAACACTAAGGCAAGAACATTTATATTAAGAATTTATTTGCAATATACAAAAAGAATACATTCCTTCTATTAGATCAAGGCATAAGTTACTTTTAAACGAGAGCTACATTTTTTATTCCATTCACAGATTAGATCATCTTTTCTTCTAGAGAATGTTGTTGTTCACAGTACTCCTGAATTCCTGCAAAGACACGGAGAAAGTAATATAAATGGTATTTCAGTTGCACATCAGGAGTCTGTTGTTGCTGCATCACTGTATCCCCTGTTGGTACAAATATCTCAAGCTGGACCTTTATCACGGTGAAAATGGCCTCAGGAATTTCCCAGCTGTCTGCATTTTGTAACAGCACATCACCAGCTCTTTAGGTGGTTTTTGAATGGGAGTTTTGTGCCTTTCCAGTTAGAAGTGGAGGCATAATTAGCCAGCTGCATCCCATGGGTTATGGAGAGCACCCTCCACAGGCCTGCTTGAGAACCTCAGAACTCTTCTGTGAGAGGAAGGGCACACACATCTCTGCAAATGAATGACTGAACCAAACACAGAAGCCACCTACCAAACACAGTCTCCTCAGGGCTTTAAAAGCCTGTCAGAACCGATGCCCAGAAGCAAACGTGGTATTTGCAGCTGTTACTTTCAGAATTGCTATGCACATTTCCTGTTTTATTATTTGTGGCAAAATAATCCTGTTTAACACCTTTATATATTGCAGCAGTGCTCGGAACCGAGAGTGCACAGTGATTCTCAGACTTACTTTGAATGATATTCCTGTAAGACAATGTAGCTGGAGAATCTCGTGCTTCGGACAGGAATGACTGGCCTCTGTCACAACTTCTTCCTTGAAGGACAGAGAAAAACACAAAAGCAAAGCAACAAGAAAAGATGAGCTTTTATTTTTTTTACCCTTTATCCCACTCCAGTGACACCCTTTCAAACAGCCACCTACATCTATTCCTTTTAGGAAGCCCTGATGTCAGTAATAGGACTACAACCACAGCTTACAGTTTTACAGAGGAATTGTGTTGGCAGAAACCTTCACTTGCTGTGTTGGGAGTACTGACCTGTTCCTTGATGTCATTAGTTCAGGTATTAATTGTAACAGCTGGTGGAAGAGGAACCAAGACACCTCACAACCCACAACAGAATTTGGGCAGAATTTGTTAAGCACTAGTTTTAATGCTTAACATCTACAAGGTATTATTCTTTGAAGTGGTTATGATTTTATTCAGCCTGCATTTCCAGGTGATTGCACCAAAGAGAAAGACATGTTGTATTTCAAATATGATTACAGAGCTGAAAAGATGCATCATCTAATCTTAACTGATTAAAGTTTCAGGTTAAGGAAATTACCAAAGCACTTCCCTCATTCACATCATGCTACGTCACAGTTCCAGTAACTTTAGATTCAAAAAAACCTTCTATCTAAAAGTGGATATTTACCTAAGAGACATCAGTGCCCACATCAGGCTTTTCCAGTAATAACATCAGTACAGGAGGAACAACTTGTTTTAGGTGCAGTGCAATAAGTAACTTTACCTATCTGTGGATCCAGAGGCACTTTACCCAGGAGGGAAACATTCAAATTCTGGCACATCTTCTCTGCACCACCAGTAGTTGGGGGAAAGATCTGAGATTCTTTCTGGGACAACAGGAAAATCAGAGTTAAAATATTGCAATTCTGAGAACGAGGCATTTTTGGAGCAATGTTTTACACACAGTGCCACGGTAAAAATGCAGTAACACCCAGCCAGCCTTACCTTACACTTTGGACACACAAAGCCACTCATGTTTTCCACAACACCTATGATGGGCAGTTTCACCTTGTGGCAGAAGTTGATCTCCTTCCGAACATCCTGAAGCGAGATTTCCTACAAATATTAGCAAAGGCTCATATTTTAATTGTCATGTTTTCATGTTGAATCCATTCAGTTACCTCCTTAGAGCTATTTTAAGGAGAGTTTATAATGAATTATTACTGCTGTCTTAACATTTTGAGGAACAAAAATCTGTGCTATGTGCTCTAGCAACAATTCTGAGGAGCAACAGAGCAGCTCCAACAGTTCCAGCCTACTGGATGTGGTTCTGTTTCAAAATCTGACTCTACCAAGATTCACCCACATTTATCTCCTATGTTCACCTCATATCTTCAGTTCTTTTAAGGCAACTTTTTCACGTTTTCAGTCTACAGAGGGACCCTTGGTATTGTCCATAGAGCAAGGAAAAGAACCACCAGGCTTACACTTGTTACGCCTTCCAAAATAAATTTGAAATATCTTCTTCTCAGACTTTTTGCATATATGCTTGCCCTCACTCATTCTCCTGTTCTCTTTTCCTTCCCTCACCACCTCTCTAGTATCACTCTCACCACTTCCTTTACGTGTTATCCTTCCAGCTGCTGTGGAAATACTACACGTCTTTTGCTCCTGTTCCTCTCCAAACCAGGCACTAAAACCTCTGTCTGAACTGGACATATTCTGAGTTTCAGCTTGCCAGGGGCTGATTTCTCTTTTAAAAATGCACATGACAAAACTGCCTACTGGAGGTGACAGGCTACTTCACAGGTGTCAAACAATGCACAGCCTATCACTTAAAAACTAAACTTCTTACTGACATTCTTTGGAGCATTAAGCCATTGGTGAGCAAATTACAGATTCACAAGGATGTGAATTTTGAAGAAGGAAGTGAAACACTGCATTTCCTTTCACCACACGGATCACAAAAGCTTTTAATTGTGAACTGCCCCGTGGTTTAGTGATCCAGTGGGATCCCCAGCTCCACTGAGACACCCACCCAACTCACACGCCAGCACAACCCAACAAAGTCAGTCCTCTGAGATTCTGTACCCTCAGGTTTCTCTGAAGTTCAACAGCCTCTAACCCCAGGACTGCCTTTAACTTGTGAGTTGCTTCTCCATGGAAATTCATGTCCCATACCTGCGGGGTGGTGACTATGACAGCCCCATCGATGTGGGTGGCACTGAGGTACTGCACGATGGACAGGTGCTCGTCCGACGTCCCCGGAGGTGTGTCCACGATCAGGTAATCGACCTCCCCCCAGTCCACGTCACGGAGGAACTGCTTGATCAGCCCTAAAAGAAAGGAGAAGAATGTGAAAAAAGAGGAAAAAAAGAATCTCCCTGTATTTCAGATTTTAGGGAGTAATTCTACTCCTGTAGCCCAGGCAGAAGATTCTTCTGACTTGTCCGCTTCAGGACAAAACCATGTATTTTGACAAAGCTTAAAAAATATAAATAAAAAGACATCACCTGACCTTTAACTTCACCAAATCAGCGTGTTCAACTAAAGAAATAATAAACCATTCACTCCTTTTTTCCTTATAGCTTACACTATATTTATGTTATTAAAAAAGGTCATGATATTTACATAACTGAAATCTTTTAAGTACACGAATCATTGTTGATACACTTGACACACACCATTTTTTTTTGGTCCTCTCCAGATGACTGCATCATCAGGGCTGCCAAGCAAGAACCCCACTGACATGACACCTAAGTTTTCTTCAACATACTGAAAGAGAAGTAGAGAAACAGAGCAGTGAAGAAAGAGTAAAGAAACCAACTCTGAAGCCCTATTTTATAGAAGAAGCAGCTGGAGAAGAAGACATTAATAAAATAAAGGCAGAGAACCTTATCTTCTATCACAGGGCATTAAAAACTACACTCAAACTGAAAAAATGCAGCTGTTACAGCAGTTTATGGAACCACTGGAGACAACAAAAGGATAAAACCAGCTTTCCCTCTCAGCCCAAGCTGCCTTTTTAAGAGCACACTACAAGCTATCTCTTGCAAAACTCGCCCTGCATTTTGCAAAGATTAATGAGGTTTTCCTTGTGTGCAAGGTACTTCTTGGCTGTCACAGAAAAGGTGACATACTGATTGACACAGCTGATTGATACCCAAAATAACAAAACTGAGGAACTTATATTTATATTTATTGCCCGCAGTAGGGAAATCAGTAAACAAGAGATACAGTATTACTATAATTAACAAAAGAAATTTAACACTCTGAACCTATAGAGTGTACATCCAGATTCTATAGTACCTGTAAATATATTCTATAGCTTTCTCTGTACGTTATGTAGAATCTGGATAAATATGAAATCTGGATATAAAATCTGGAAAGATAGAATCTATGGATTCTATATCCTGTATATGTATCTTGTATATCTTCTATATCTTGTATATTCTATATCTTGTATCTATAGAATCTGAATATTTAAATAATTAGAAAAAGAACTAACAGAAGTGCCTCCTGCTTCTCCCTCACTCATTTTTTAACACAGAACACAGTGCCAAACCCAAACAAACCCAATAAACTTTCTGAAACAGCTGCACCAACTCACCACTGGAGACCATCCAGATCCACTCTGATGAACCTGAAAATTGAAGTGAAACATAAAGTTATAAGAGAAATAAATACAGATGTTACACAAAACATGAACATAAGTCAAACCTGGGTAACAGCTTTCCTGCCTGCAGGGACAATCCTGCTTTATTGGGGTAGTTGAGGTAAAAACTGCAGGAGCACCAGATCTCCATCAGTAAGTGAACAATAACTGTTCAACCCTTATGCAAGTTCACCCATGACTTCGCATATTTATATAAAATACTCGAGGGCTGATAAGGCCCATCATGATAATATTACTCAGGTTTTAAGCTATCACGAGTATGTGGACGCTATGCAACGAAAGCTGTTTTGCAGAACTGCTCATCCTGAAGGCAAATGGCTCTTTTACAAAATAAATTATGCTGAACTCCTCCATCTCACCTTATTTCCCTACCCACTGCCACTTCCCAATAAACAATCCTTTATGAGCTTTCAGCCTACAGAGCCCAAAGACGTTATTGAAACAATGAGCAGAAATCCTTTAAGCAACACGTTGGAGCATTCACTCACCTGTTCTCCTTCCAGACCCATTATTTTAGGGATCGATGGCCCGCAGATATCGATGTCCAGCAGAGCAACCTGGAAAACAAACCGGCCAACGCGCCCCACTGGAAACAAGGCGGCACAGGGCCGTCCCCCGGGGCGAACTCACGCAGTGAGAACACCCTAGCGCGGTTCATGCACGAAGGCCAAGCCCTAACGAGCGGGGCACACGGCCGGTGCCCTCCCGCCAGCCCTGGGCCCCACCTGCTTGTGCTCGTCGGCCGCCAGCCCGTGCGCCAGGGCGGCGCTGAAGGTGCTCTTGCCCACGCCGCCCTTGCCGGACAGCACCAGCACCGTGTGCCGCACCGCCCGCAGCCGCGCCCGCAGCTCCGCCGCCTCGGCTGGGGGCGATACCGGGCCGTCAGAGCGGCCCCCGCACGGCCCGGAGCTCCGTCAGGGCCCTCGGACCGCCCGGAGCCCCCTCACGGCCCCCCAACAGCGCGGACCGCCCCAACTCCCTCACGGCCCCGACACTCACCCGGGTCCGGCCCGGCCGCGCCGGCCGCGCACAGCCCCTGGTTGGGGCATCCCTGGCAGGCGGCCGCGCTGCCCGCCTGGGCGCTGCCGGTCCCCGGGCACTCTGCAAGGCACAGCGAGGGCTGTGGCGCGGGTGCGGCGGGCGGGGGGCCCGTCCCGGCCGAGCCGCTCTCCCGCAGACCGCTCACCCTCGGGCCGCGCCGCGCCCGCCGCGTCCGCCATGACAGCGCGTCACCTCCGCCCGCGGGGGCGGGGCCGGCGGGGGCGGGGCCTCTGGCCGCCGGGAGCGCTCCGCCAGGGGGCGCTGCGGCGCCGTGGTGGCACCTCAGGGGGACCCGGTGACACCTTGGGGGGGATCTGGGGACATCTCTGCGGGGACCCGGTGACAGCTCGGGGGGGATCTGGTGACATCTCTGCGGGGACCCGGTGACACCTCGGGGAGGGGATCTGGTGACATCTCTGCGGGGACCCGGTGACACCTCGGGGGGGATCTGGGGACATCTCTGCGGGGACCCGGTGACACCTCGGGGGGGATCTGGGGACATCTCTGTGGGCACCCGGTGACACCTCGGGGGGGATCTGGGGACATCTCTGTGGGCACCCGGTGACACCTCGGGGGGAATCTGGTGACATCCCTGCGGGGACCCGGTGACAGCTCGGGGGGGATCTGGTGACATCTCTGCGGGGACCCGGTGACACCGCCGGGGACCTCTGCTGACACGCCCGGAGGAATCCACTGACACCACCGGGGGACTTCGGTGACACCCCTGGGGGCTCTGCTCCGGGGGACTCCGGTGACACCGCCGGAGGGATCCACTGACACCCTCTTCAGCCTCAGTGACATCCCTGGAGGGCTTCACTGACAGACACCCCCGGGGACTCTGCTCCGGGGGGCTCTGGTGACACCCCCGAGCAGCCCCGCCCCGGGCTCACCGCCCCGGGGTCTGGCTCATGTCTCCGGTACCGCAGCTACGGCAGGTCCAGCTCTGCCAGCAGCCACCGTGGAATTTCTCCTCTGGGACTGCGTTAGGCAGAATAAATGGACCATTAATTGCACGGAGCCCTCCCGGTGCCGCAGCCCGGCTGTTCCGGGGTCCCGGGGCTGAGCACGGGGGCTCTGTGCCCGCACCACGCTCGGCCGCTGGAAGCAGCCGCGCTCCAGCACTGAGCCAGCTCACAGCACTGTACAGCTGCCAAGGACAGCGTGACACAGGAATGCACTTCACTGCTGTGTTTCACAAGTTTCATACCCAGGAAATTATGTATCATTCCAGTAAAATTGCGTTCTTGCGGTATTTCGTGTCAATTCTGAGTATATTAATTCTGTATCTTGCTGATAGACAATTTCCAATAATTTAATGGGTACATTCATTTGGAAGATTATTCTGCCTTAACTTGGCCAGTCAACTTCTGAGCAATCAGATAGTCACTGTTCTTGGTGAGTAAAAAATAATGAAATCAATTAATAATAAATTAATTTTCCAAACCAAGGAAGTATGCACCAGCTTGTGATACAGGATGGCCCCTATTCCTGGTGACCTTATCCCAATTCCTGCTCCCTGCCTGTCTCTCCCCTGGCTGCCTTAGCACAGCCTTGTCCTGTCTTCCACTTGTAACATCACAGCTTAAGAACTGAAGTAGTTGCCAGTGTTGGTGATAAGTCTTGGTGCTGCTTGGGCTGGCAGTGCACCTGGCAGAGAGTTGTGTGTGTAACCTGACTCACCCAGACAGACCTGTTGGGGATACCCCACCAACATCCACCAAAAGGCAATTCCTACCTCAAAATGCTTCCAGACTAGTCCAGCACTAAACCCAAGTCCCATATTTAGTCTGAAGAGGAAAAAAATGTTCTTACAAGAGCTTTGACAACCTTTTCACCTTTCCTTCATTTTCCCACCACTATTAAAGTTCTCATGTCACGATGTTCAGAGTCCCAACCATAGGAGATGCAGCAAGAGCACGGGAACAGTTGGCACAGGAGTAAAGCTTTGGTGTCTAGAAAAATCCATCAAACAATGTGACCACTTTGCACTGGAAAAATGCACACAAAAACTGAATGACGGTCCACCTAGAAAACAAAAAACGCACCAAACCAGAGCAAAAAACAAACCTAGAAAAAAATCTGAAAATACATTTCATTAAGGTAATTGAGGAGCTTGGTCTGTTTTTTGGCCATTAATAAATAGGCTATTACCCATTTCCCATTTCAAGTGTATTTACCCCAAGGAAATGCTCATCACCCCTGGATACTTGTACAGCTCCTGAACTTCTGCTCTGTAATTTCCTTCTATGGGAAACTAATGAAAATGTTACATGGAAGTGGAGCCAAATGTTTAAGCAAATTCAAATGTCTGTGGTGGGAGGAAAACTGGCCAGGAAGACATATCAGAAACTTATACTGTACCTTGCCCATGAAAAATTTGGCTCTGTGTAAGACCACAGCCCAGTATGGCACTTTAGGTCTGTGCTTCCTGTCAAACATATGGATTAGATTCACTGATGTCTGCAGGACTTTCCACAGATTAAACTGAGGTACGTGTTCAAATATCTTTCTTTTGGGGCCAACTGTTTATTTCCTGTTCCTAAAGTTATAGAGAACGTTCCCCACAAGAAGCACCAAAAAGGGAAAGGTGAATCTCTTCCTTAGCACCCCTCTTGCTCTGAGCCAGCAGGGGCTCCTTGTGCAGGGCTCTCTGGGTGAACACCAGGCCTTGGAGTGCTCAAGCCAGGCTGAGCTCAGCCCAGGGCTCTGCCAGCACTCTTGCAATCTCATGCTCAGCAATAACTTTACCCTCCTCGGCAGCTGCTGAGAATTAGTTCCATCAGTTACTGCAGGAGGAGGGTTTTTTGTGTGTGTGAGCATTTGCAGTATCAATCTTACCCTGTTTACACATCCTTGTGTGTGGCTCCACTGCTTGTCCCTCACTGCCCTATAGTTTATTTATGTAGGTTTTAAACATCATGAGAAGATAAATTTAACTGACAGTGACCATTTCTTTAAAATTATCTCTCCTTTTTTTTCGCTGGGTAACGTCCTGCAGCTTTCTGAGACAAGATACGCTGTAACGCAGTGTGTGTATATATATATATATGTCAACAGAGATGTACAGCATGCCCTGGAGAAGGATCTTTCTGACAAAAACTCAGCCTATTTTACTGATGAGAAGTGCTTTAACCTGAGGAACACATTGGACAGCATCAACTTTTACCATGGAGTGGAAAAAGCAGCAGAGACGTGAGTACGAGTGGCTGCTGCAGCCTTCACTGTGCGTACTCCCTGCTGTAAGCAAGAGCCTGATTCAGCCCAGACCTTATCTTTGAGAAGTGATATAGAAAGAAGTGGCTTCTCTCTCCTCAGGGCCCTGTTTTTCCCTGGTGTGAGACCCTCCATCATCATCCTGGGTCCTGGTTACAGCTCTGCTGCAGTTGGCTCCTTGCCCTCAAACTCCACTGTGCAGGGTCCCCCCTTGTTTTGATTTACGCTGTTCTGTGGCTTTCAGGTTTCAAAACCACATCAAACCAAATAAAAATTCAGCTGAGGTGTGCAGGTAAGTGCAGCAAACAGCACATAAATGTTCACCAAGGACTAAATATACTGTCTGTGAAAGAGCTTGGGTTGTTGTGAAATTAGTCCATTTGGCATAGCTTTAGTGTTATAGACTGAAAGAAAATTACTGAACTGAAATGTCCCAATTGTAGGCAGTTTTCAAACTGTTTATTAGCAGTGTCCTCATCAAGCCCTGCATCCAATCCAAGTGCAATAGCAGCAGCAGAGCATCTTGCAATAGAGGGCAGTGTTTTTGTGCTAATGACTTGTCAGTTCCTTTATCATTAACATAGCAGTGCTTGAATGGTGAATGTACTTCACAATCTCAAATGATAACGACTCTGTCTTGTTGGAAGGAGAAAAAAAAAAAATCAGTATTATTTGTTTACTTATGCTCTGCTTTTCATTAAAAGATCACCTCATTCACTACTGAAACGAGGGCATATCCGAAGGAAACTTGGCAGGCATTCTGCTGACTCCAGTAACACTACCTACTTTTAGGATTAGCAATGAATAAAATTATTCTTGTCAGCTCTAGTAAAAAGCAGGTTCATGTGGATAAGTTCTGCAGCCCTTTTCCTTTCTCACCATCCATTATCCAAAGAAACTACATTCTTCACTAATGTTTTCCTGAAACCACTTGGCAGTCTGAGACATACCTGCAGCACTCAGAAGCAGAGCAGGTGTTTTCTGCCTCAATAGACCCAGATGGATAAATTACAACCTGAAAAAGCAATGTTAAAGAACAGATTAAGTACTAAGTATTTCAGATAGTCAAGATGGAAACCCACTTGGAAATTTAATTTTCTGATGAGAAGATGAATTAATCCATCAGATTGTAGAGCAGGAAAAAAATCCCAAAGCAATTATCCTGCAGAAAATACACCAAGATTGTCTGGATCAGTAGCTGTAAGCACAGCCAGCTCAGGTTCTGTAGACTGACTTATGTACTTTACTATCAGGTTGGTTGCCTGAAACTTTTCAGGGCAGCTGCCTAAATAAGTGTGCAGCACTAAGGAATTCCAAATCATTTAGGAAGATAGGTACTTCAGTTTGGAGACAGAGGAATACCCTATGAAAAACTGAAGAAAGGTTACTGAGAAAACAAGCACTGATAAAACCAAAATTAACCTTTTCTTTTTGCATCCCTTAATATTTACTCCCAGGGTTCAATTAAAATGTAGAGTAAATGTGAAAACCAAAATATAGTGATATATCCCTGCAGAGTTTAGCATACAGGCAAAATTCTTAGAAAAAAAGTTTTGTGTTGGAAAGAAGTTTAAATGCAGACAGAAGTTTGTGTCAGCCTTTCAATTTGGTAAGTAAAATATCTGTACTTTTCATAGAACACACTAAATACTTGGATGAAGAGAGGAGTGATCTAGCAGGCTAAGCAAAGCATTAAAGAAAGTGATGAATTTAACTCCAAAGACAGTAGTTTACACTGCAGCAGCAGTTTTGAAGCCAGAGGCTCAGGCTGCAAGTTATGTTAAATTCCTTACA